CTCCGGGGAATGAGGGGGTCCGAGGGGCCGTGAGGAAGTCAGAGGGGGCGTGTAGGGGTCCGAGGGGGTGTGTGCAGGATGCCGAAGGAGTGAGGAGGCCCTAGGAGGACCGAGGGGGGCGTGTGGGGGTCCAGGGCATGTGGAGGGTTCCGAGGGAGCGAGGGGGCCCTAGGGGGCGTGTTGGGGCCGGAGGGGGACTTTGGGCATCAGGGCATGTGCGGGGTTCGGAGGGGTCCAGGGCAGAGTAAAGAGGTCTGAGAGTGTACATGGACGGGGATTCAAAAGCGTGTATGCCCGTCCAAGGGCTTGTGACTGGGTCTAAAAGTATGTAGGGGGTCAGGGGCATGCAGGTGGGCCAAGCCCCTGTGTAAGGGGTCTGGGAGTATTTATGGACCAGGTTCAAGGGTAGGTGCAGGGATCTCAGGCGTGTGTATACGCGTGCGCGCCCTCGAGTGGGGAGGAGAGTCCATGGATGTGTATGGTCTGCGAGTTCCGAGGGGTGTGTGTGTGTGGGGGGGGGGGAGGTGTTGGGGTCCAAGCTGCCAGATGGGGATGGGAAACAGGGTCCTTGCCACTGAGGGGGTTGTGGGGATTGCCTCAGCAGGGCAGGCTTTGGTCTCGATGTGAGGAAGAGGCTGTGGTTCTGGGGAAGACTTGGGGTCTTAGCAACTGGCTACTTGAGAGGTGGGGACTGGAAACTAGGTCTCTCACCAGGGGACGTCATTTCTATCTCCTCCCCTTGAATTTAGCCCCCAGGAAACCAGGGTTGTGCAGCCTGCCCTCTGGGGTTCTCCTTCGGTTGGCATTTGAGGCAGTCCCCTGCTTAATTGGGCCCCAGGCTCTCCAGGTGGGGACCCGACAACCACATATTCGCCCCCTGTAGCTGGTCTCCAGGTTAAAAGATTCTGCTCCAGATGAGGGTAGGGAAATGTGAAAAACCCACCCCTTCCCTGTCGGCACTGGGTTCCAGGTGCTGTGGGTGGACCATCCCTAGGAAGGGGGTGGTGGTGGCAAGGGGTGCTGACTGGGGGGGAAGCTGGAGTTCTCACTCTGAGGGTGTCATTAGTGGGCCGTCAGGCAGGTGTCAGGGTGATATGGGTAAAATCTGCTCTGTCGCTTGCTGCCCCAGTCAGTATAGCAACTGGAGCTGGCAGGGAGGTGGGTGGAGAGCCATTCACAGACTCGCTTTCTCTGTGGTGACGGTCCCCGGCCAGAGTTCACGTAATGTACGTGTTGTGCCATGGCAGCAGGGCCCAGGCTGGTGGCAGCGCGTACGGCTGGGTCTGTCGGCGAGAAATAGAACGAAAGGAGTGGTCCCATCGGGGCTGTGAACCGAGGTTGTTGGGACCCGGTGACCTCTTGGAAGGCTGCTGCTGAGCCGACTGCTTGCTGTTTTAGCCTCAAGCCCCTGTCCCGTGCCATGCCAGCGCCAACACCTGGGAGAATCACAGCAAGGCCAGAGCTATCCCCTTCTTTCTCGGGGCTCTGTACTTTGTGGTTCCAGACATGGCGTGGCCCTGGCTCCCTCTGCTTCCTCTGGCTCACCCTTAATTCAGCTCCTGCTCAGCATGCCCTTTGTTCAGCGACTTCTCGTGTGTCTCATGACCTGGTTCCTTTCAAGGCTTGTGCACTGCGAGGACCCCCAAGGGCACAGCTTGTTGGTAGTCTCAGAGCTGAGGCACGGCGACTTCTCCGTGAGTTGCAATCACCACAGCCCCTGCCCCTGGGCTTGTCCTCTTTGCTCATTGCTAGCACTCATGTCCTAGGGACAACTGACTTGGTGTCTGATTCGGGTCAGGAGAAGAGTGCTGTGCCGGGGCCTCGTGGAAAGCCTGTCGGTCTGTTGGAGGCTGGCGTCCGAGACCAGCTTCTGTGAGGGGCAGGGCCTGACTCTCCCGTGGGTTCCAGATGCGGGTTTTTCTGCCCCACATCCCCTGCCATCGGATGCAATTTCCCCATGATCATGCTGTGCACTGACACACTTGGTCCTCTGGTTACTTGGTCAGTGGTCAAGCTGACCTCTAGGCTAGGGCTTTTGGTGTGACACATAGGGTGAGGGGTAGATGGACAGAAGACATGGGCTCTGGGTCTGGACAAGGTGGGACTTGAGTGAGTGTCGTGCAGGGCAGTGGAATGTCAGCCCTGCTGTGTCTGAGCGCCTCCACCATCATTCTAGGGGCACTGGTCTCCTGTCAGGTGAGACCTGCCCGGTTTATGCAGCTGCTCAGCATGGAAGCCCCTTTCTTCCTCCCTTACAGCAGGACCCTGGAAGGGGGGCTCTTGCTCAAAGTGTCCTCTTCCGGTTGCCAGGCAACTTCCAGAACTGGAAACGGTTCCTGTGGAACCAGCCCAAGACCCAATGGTCTCTCCATGGCTGTTGAGCGGAGTGTGTGATTTTGGTTGGGACTCCCCTTGCAGAGCCCCTTCTGAGAGCCCCGCCCTTTCGGCTGCATGCCTCAGGCCCACCTTGTGTAACCCTTGTTCTCTGATGATGCCCACAGGACTGACTGACCCCCGGGACGTGGCGCGGTGCTGACGTGCGGGCTGTGGCGTGCTGTGCGCTGCCACGCAGAGCCCACCATGAACGGCCCCGAGCCGGGCTTCACCCTGGATCTTGGCCCCAGCTTCACCGAAGATGCACCCAGACCTCCTGTGCCAGGGGAGGAGGGGGAGCTGGTGTCCAGTGACCCGCGGCCGCTCAGCCACGGACTCTGCGCAGGGAAAGGGGCCGGGCCCAAAGGGGAGGCGTCCACAGCCACTCCACGGCGCTCCGATCTGGACCTGGGCTACGAGCCAGAGGGCAGTGCCTCACCCACGCCCCCCTACCTGAGGTGGGCTGAGTCGCTGCACTCCCTGTTAGACGACCAGGATGGCATCCACCTGTTCAAGACGTTCCTGAAGCAGGAGGACTGCGTGGACCTGCTGGACTTCTGGTTCGCCTGCACCGGCTTCCGGAAGCTGGAGCCAAGCGGCTCCAACGAGGAGAAGAGGCTGAAGCTGGCCAAGGCCATCTACCGCAAGTACATCCTGGACAGTAATGGCATCGTGTCCCGGCAGACCAAGCCGGCCACCAAGAGCTTCATCAAGGACTGCATCATGCGGCAGCAAATCGACCCCGCCACCTTTGACCAGGCCCAGACCGAGGTCCAGTCCACCATGGAGGAGAACAGCTATCCGTCCTTCCTCAAGTCCGACATCTACCTGGAGTACACGCGGACAGGCGCCGAGAGCCCCAAGGTCTGCAGTGACCAGAGCTCAGGCTCTGGGACGGCCAAGGGCGTGTCTGGGTACCTGCCCACCTTGAATGAGGACGAGGAGTGGACGTGCGGCCAGGATGTGGAGGACGAAGAAGGCCGGGGTGCCACGCCCTCCAGCAGGCTCTCCCAGAAGCTACTCCTAGAGACGGCCGGCCAGCGCCCCCCGACAAGCCGCCGGGGCAGCGAGGGCCGGGAGCTCAGGTGAGTCGGCCCGGCCTGTTGTGTTTGTAGCCACACTGAGACTGCAATCTCTCGGGCTGAGAGGTCCGGTTTGGGCAGTCCTCGGACACCTGGATTTTTCTGTGGCTGTTCACTGAGGTGGGTAACAGAGGACAAGCCACTTTCCATTTGACAGTTGGTACTTGGTGTGGTCATCTCCACAGTGTCCCATCGCGCTTCCCACTTGTGCTGCCTGTCTCCGTGCCTCCTCTTTCCCTGCTCTTGTCACTTTGTTCTTGGGGGCTGCTGCCCTTCGGATCCCTGCTTGGTCCCCCATAGGCATATCTGTTGCTTGCTTGGTGAGTGGTCTCTGAGGGCCATAGTCTCGGGCCCTACCGGTCTCCAGCTGATCAGTAATCGTGGTCTCTTTTCGATTTTTTCTTTCTTTCTTAAACCCAGGTTGTTGTTTATTTAATGCGCAAATGGACATTTAATTTGAAAACAAAACCCAGGTGACATCACAGCTTAAGACTCAGTCCTACACAGAAAGCCAGGGTGGGACAGACAGCTAAGGGAGAGGGGACAATGTGCAGAGCAAGGCTGGACAGACCACTGGGCAGGCTTCCTGGCTGGAGACTTGGTCTGAGTCAGCGTCCTACTGGCATTTCTTACAGGCTGTGGGGTTTTACCGGAGTTGAGCCGCATGTGTGTTGGAGGAGAGGATGGTCCTGACATTATACAGGGCAGGGCGCTTCTCCTCCAGGATGTCCAGGCAGATGTTGTCCCAAAGGTCATGTTGAGGTGGAAGCAGGGGTGAGGCACTTCATGTGGGTACACTGTAAGGGTTGCCACTGGGGGGACTCTGAGGAGGCCCTAGACCTGATGTCTTTATCACCTGTGCCATCTGCTCCACAGACACTC